ACATATCATGTTTATGATCACTTGATGCATGTATTATGTTTCTATAGTGTGTTAGTCACCAAAGTGGTCAAACTAATATGGTTAAGAGAGATAAGCACTCATAAAATTGTCATTTATCTATGAAGGTTAATTAAATGGCTATATATTGAAAAATGAATAGATAAATTGACCTTCACTATTGATAGAACTTAAGAAGAATTTACACAAAGGTGAATCTATCATTCTATGAATAGTGAAAATTATGAGGTGAATTAATATTTTAGTCAAACAGATATTGTATATCCAAAGATGTCGTATATGTTTGATTAAGAATATCCAATTACCTATTAAAGATAAAAATGACATTTAAATTATGATAATGTGTCGTAGTATCTACCCAAAGGAGAATTACGATATATTTTTATCGCTTTACTAAATTCACATTACTTCCTGATTTGTGATCATGTATATCTATTTTGTAGTTATTCCTCTTCATTCGTATGCTTCGTTTGTTACTGTGTTCAATGGATTGAACTTCTCTAAATGGCATGAACAAGTTCAATTCCACTTAGGTGTGATGGATCTTGACTTAGCTTTGCTAAATGACAAATCCACTGCCATTACTGATAAGAGCAGTGAAAATGAGAAGTATTTTCATAAATCATGGGAACGCTCTAACAGATTAAGCCTTATGTTCATGCGAATGATTGTTGCTAACAACATTAAGAGTACTATTCCACAAAAAGAAAGTGACACGGAATACCTAAAGTTTGTGGAAGAACGTTTTCGTTCTGCTGATAAGTCTCTCGCTGGTACACTAATGGCTGAACTCACGACTATAAAGTTTGATGGGTCGCGTAGTATGCAAAATCATATCATCGAGATGACTAACATTGCATCAAGACTTTCGACCTTGGGGATGAAAGTGGATGACACCTTCTTGGTTCAGTTTATTCTGAACTCATTGCCTCTTTAGTATGGACCATTCCAAATTAACTATAACACTATTAAGGATAAGTGGATGTTAGTGAATTGTCTAGTATGCTTACTGAAGAGGAGTCAAGACTTAAGAAACAAGGAGGTCATTCCATTAACCTCATGGGTCAAGGAGCTAGTAAAAGACTTAAAGTGAAAGCTAACAAGTTTAAGAAAAGAAAGCACCTGCTAAAGTTCCACAGGATGCTCATAAGGAACTCAAGGCTGATGTGTGTCGTTTCTGTAAAAAGGAAGGACACTATCAGAAAGATTGCCTGAAACGTAAAGCTTGGTTTGAAAAGAAAGGTACATTTAGTGCCTTTGTATGTTTCGAATCAAATTTAGTAGAAGTTCCTAATAATACTTGGTGGCTTGATTCTGGTGCAACTACTCATGTATCCACTATGTTGCAGGGATTCACTACGATCCAAACAAAAAAAATTCTTGTTCATGGGAAATCGCATGAAGGCTAAAATTGAAGGCATAGGGACTTATGATTGGTTGTACTTATGATTAATGCATTTATTATCTTTTTACACTCTGAGCTCAATTATGTGTTTCTGATATACATTAATGAATTTCTTGTTTCTCACAATGGTGTACACATTATTGTTTTGAGATATTACAAGATAAGTCTCTATGAGACATTATTGTGGATCGTAATGTTATATGTTTTTATAGCTTATGAACCTAGTATGATAAGTTGCTAATGTAGTAGTATATGGAAGGAAGTATGTAGCTTAAAATTTATGTACAACCTCCATAACTCGCATTAGTAATTTGTTATATTGTGGTATGTGTGATGGACATTATAGAGGAGATTTATTATATGTGCAACTAATGTTTATTAAATATTAATGTTATATGGTCATTGGGCCAAGTGGGAGAATGTAAGAATTATTATTAATTATTTCTTACATATGGCCCAAGTTTACTTGTAACCCAACTAATACCATAAATAATATTTAATAAGGAATAGATATCGTCCGTACATTGGTTACTTGATAGACGTACCCAATTAAGTCATAACCTCTATAAATTGGTCCTCCCTCCACCCATTAGGGTTATCACATATTCTCTACAATAATTACATCGATGACGGTTGTGGTAACGTAAGGCCAGGGCAAGGAGGTAGAAACCAATTTACGACTAACGCTTCCGCTTCTCTCCATGACGATGTCTTCCGCATCATGTATATGCCCCTAATGATCTCTATGTAAGATTATCGTGTTCAAGATCCTGAAAGCATTTAATCTTACATTCCAATCAGTTGGTTTCAGCTTTAATTATTTTTATTTAGCTATCACATTATGATTCCATTTTTGATATATTAAGAAAAAATTTAGATGTATTATATTATATGAATACCATTCGGTTTATGATTCTTGAAGAAATTGAGACTTAACCCTAAACTTAAAATTTGAAAAACATGAGAGTTGACTTGTTAATTGGCACCAAGATTAGGAGCTTGATTATAAATTTGAGTGAGTTTTTGCGTCTAGCTTAGACATATAGTAATATGGGTGTTGTTAGTTTTGAAATCTCATTGTGATTATTTATTTGAATAGATTGCATTGATTTGGAAGCTCAACGAAAGGGAAAGACTCATGTTCCGGAGAGAATTGTTGATTAACTGAGGCAAGTGAATTTATCAACCCTTGTTAAGTGTATAGAATCATGTATTTCCTTGTGGTATGTGTTGGGGAGTAATGGAACATGGTTATGGGTTGACTTGTCCATATTAAAGAATTTCAATGATGAAAGGAGTAATAAAAGGCAATGTGATTAATTATTGGTGTGTAATGTGTTGAGAATTGTTTGGAAGACTTATTGATTCATTGTTGCTATTGTATCACGATTGTGTTGTTGTGAATTATGCATTGTTATGAAAATGGTCATCTCCTCATTATTTGTGTGAACATGTCATTTGCATTGATTATGAGACATGGTTGTGACAAAGGTTATGTGAATTGAGAAAGAATAAAAAATTAAAGAGGATCTACCATTTCGAGGGACGTGTCACGCGCCATGACGGATATTATGATTTGAGGGACGTATCGCACACCGCGATAGTTTCTATTATCGAAGGACGTGTCGCACGCCATGAAAAATTTTATTATCGAGGGTCATGTCACACGCCGCGACGGATGCATGGACAAATATGTCCCTCATGGGTTCCGAACTGAGAGACAACGGGTGTGTATCGTTAGGTTAGACATGCATCATTATACTTGGCATTGCATTTCATTGAATTGTATATCTATCTTTTGTGAACTTGTGAGTCCCTTTCAGTGGAACTTGTGATTGATGAACTCGATCATGTGTGCTGCTGATTTGTAATCGTTGGAATGTTGTAATTGAGTTGTGTGTTATGAAATTGTGAACTGTTAGGTTTGGCTGGTTTTATGCAGATTGTATTCTATAATTTTAACTTGTGTTTAGGAGTTTGCTTGCTGAATACCGTGTGGTTTGGTAATATGCGAAGGTTATGAGCCCATATTTTCGTGATACTCTCTCTTCTCTTCTTGTCTGAGGCATCTTGTGAATGTTTGTGAGGTAGCTGCTTATCATCTCAACAGACTTCTTTCTCCTTATTTATGATCTTGCTCTATTCTAGAAACAATATCCTTTGAGACTTGTATTTTCTTTTAATTTTTCTACAACACATTAGAGACTTTCACACGTGACAACCAGGTTTTTTGGGTATATTTAAGTTGATTATGAATTTCCGCATTATACTAAAGTATTAGACTTTTATTTATAGTTTATTTTTGCACTTTCTCATAATGGTTGAGTTTTAGGCTAACTTGTCTTGGTGAGATAAAACGAGTGGCATCACGTCCATAATTAGGTCGTGACAAAAACAGATAAACAACAGAAGAAAAAAACTAACCTAAAATTTCTTACCCACTTGCCTAACTACTCTAATTTCTCAAAACTCAATTTAATCTTCAACCTACGTAATAGGAAAAACAAAAGTATCATGTATAACATCGAAATAAATAATTTTTGAATTTTAAAAAATAAATTTAAATATTTCAAATCTATATTTTAATTTTTTTAAAATGTCATCAACAGAAATGTTTTCGAGTTCTGATTTTTCCAAAATAATAAATTTTAAATACTCTTTATAAGTATTCCAAATATATATATATATATTTTAATATATATGCAAATTTAGGATTTCGTATTATATTTTTAAATTTTAATTTAACTACAAACATTTTATAAAAAACATTTTCCTATTATATTTTTAAATTTTAATATATATATATATAGCAGATTCTTTTGTGAATGTTCAACTTGGATCGTCAATGAAATATTTTATCATATTCATGTAAACCTATGAAGATGGTCAATGAAAAAATTCATTAGTTAAATGCAATTATGTATATATTTATTTCAATTTGATGTGGTTCAATCATGTAATTCATCTTATCTCACTAATATTACCTTATAGAAAATATTTGCTTTGTATTTTTCTTGTCATCTAACCAGATGTGCTTTGCATATTTATTCTACGTTAACTTGTTTAGATGTCATATGAACATGTGAAGAGAACAACTATATTTTATATATTCACATATTTTCACATTTGTTGTGTGGTTTTAAAAAAAAAAAACTCAAAACATTTTAAAATAATATATTTTGAAGTTAGAAGATCTTGTTAACTTGATAATACATTTGTGACATATATAATACTTTAATTTAAATACAAATACCTACCCAAATATAAATATATATTTGCATTAATGACAATATTTATCTCATAAAATTAACTATTAAATAAATAATAAAAATTAAACCAATACAAACTTCAACTGGCGTTATTACAAGTCATATGAACTTTTCTTCGTCTAAAATATTGAAATATTAAGAAATTAGAATAAGTAAAACAAAAGGGCAATGTTTATATAGTAATACTTATTTTGAAACAAACTTCCTGAGAGTCTAAATCACATAAGTATCATTGATAAATAAAGTCATTCTTTTGTCTTGAGCATCAAAAACAAATCGTGACAATTCTCAAAATTTTGAAAAAGATATTTAGAAGCATATATGTACATCACAAGAGAAATTGTTAACAAAAACAAATTGATTTGGACTACATCATATTAACTTCATATATTGGAATATTACATACTAATGTATATATTAAGCAAAAAAATAATTATTACATCATCAATATTATTTTCCTCAAGTACTCGAGGTTATGGAATATACCCTCTTAGGATAGAACGACTTACTTCATCAAAATAGTGGTACCTGATATTCTGCTAAACTTCAAACTCACTCAACTACAGTAAATCACACAAATTTTTTAAAATGTATGCAAGAAGGAAAAAAGTAGAAGATTAAAATAATTGTGGTCGAAAAATGAGAGGAAGCCCCTCTATCTATAGTCAACAAAGGGTAGTATGAACAAATATTTTTTGTGTCTTATCTGAAAAGTCATGACCTTTTCGAGAAGTCACAACCCTTTGGAAAAGTCAAAACTTATTGAGTCACAACTCTTTGGAAAAGTCACAACTCAACAAAAAATCACAACCCTTCGAAAAAAGTCACAACTTATCGGAAAAGACACAACTCATTGGAAAGTCACAACCTAAGTTAGGGATATTATAGTAATTAACATTCAAGTTATATATATATATATATATGCTAACTTAGGATAAGAAGCATTCCCTATTATATTTTAAAATAATCATGTAAATTATATTGTCAATTGTCATAATGTAAAATCATATTATTATAGCCGTTTATCCTTTATGAATAAAAATAATAATTAAAACTAATGTTGAATTGTACCTACAAAATAAAAGACATTTGAACAATTTTATAAATAAATAGATTATCATACTATAGTAGGAGAAGTAAAAAGATTCAAGTGTTAACACCACAAAAAAAATAGTAATTTGTAATTATGTTAATTTCAAAAATAAAATATTTGAAAATATTTGTTTTAAGGAAATACTTGAATTAAAAACTATTTTTTTTTGAATGATCATTTTTAAAAGTAAAAATATACTAAATTGTACATAGTACAAATCTATATTTATATAAACCTTTTTAAAAATAAAATAAAATAACCGTACCAATTGTTTTATAAAAGAAAAACATGAAAATACTTTTGTTAGTAGTTTTAAAAGTGAAAAATATTTTAATCTTAAAATCATTTTAAATGATAAGAATACCTTTTAATTTACATAGAAGAAAAAGAATAAGATAAAATCAGAAAAAGAACAAAAAATATTTGTCTTTTTAAACATGATTTATATTGAATTAACAAAATTAATTTAAATTCTAAAATTAAGCATTAAAAATATTTCTTAATATATATTTAAAGGTATAGCATACTCGACGAGAGAGAGTTGCTCGGATGGTAAGCACCCCTCACTTCCAACTCGAAGGTTGTGAGTTCGAGTCACCAAGGGAGCAAAAAGGGGTGGGAGCTCCTAGGGAGGGACAAAAAAAACAAGTATAGTATACTCATGCACGATGGAGTCTTTTTAAACATTATTTATATTAGGAGTATGTGATGGATGACTAATGATCTAGAAATTCATTTTTCTCGTGTTTCTGTATTGGAATTTAACTTATGATAATATTGATATATATAATTAAATTAAATAAGAGGTGTATTGAATTATATGAACATTGTTAGAATTATGTTATTTGGAGGAATTAAGACTTAACCCTTGGCCTAAATTTTAGGGAAAATGAGACTTGACTTATTAATTGTATCAAAATTAGGAGCTTAATTAGAGATATGTGTGAGTTTTTGGGTCTAGGATAGACATATAGTAATATGAGTGTCTACAGATTTATTTACTTACAAATATTACATAATTGATAGACTGGGAACGTTCTAAAGCTTTACAAAAGGAAAAGGCGAAATCTTCCGAATTCGTGACATGTGTTCGACTTTCAAGGAATGTTAAGACTTTCTAGACTTCATTGAGAGACATTTTCCTAATTAAATATTAAAAAAGAGAATACAATGGGTTGAGGGATTTTCCTAATTAAAGATTAAAAAGGGAATATACAATGGGCAAGGGCGAAAGATGGGGGTCTCGTACAAATGGTGTGACGGTCATTGGTATGTGTACCGGTCTTATAAAGGGAAATTTTATTACTATAGTATGTGGATTGTAATCGGACAATTCCAAAGCATATGGGCATTAACTGATGTATTATTGACTTGAATTCTCTTGTATGATTCTGTTTCTTTATTGAAGCCGCATATTTGTTATAGTTGAGGTGATTATATATCATATTGATATTTGATTGATTGGGATGCATCACCATCTCCTTTTATTGAAATCATATTGTGCACATTCATTGAAATGAGATTGAGTATAAGTTGGGGACGTGGAGATCATCCGTGCTTGGGATTGTGAGATGTTAAAATTATAATTTGGGCATGTAGAGATTGTCTGTGTAGAAATTGTTTGATTTTATGATAGTGCTTTGAGATCATCCGCACAGACACGTGGAGATCATCCGTGTCAGTAGATGAACCTCGAAAGTCCCCTATGGGTCATGAACTCTCGATGTATTTTCGAGAAGTATCATATATATACGGTTGAGAGAGTATTTCGCATCTGAGACATATCATTTCATGGTGTTACATTGCATTACATCTCATTACATTCCTCATTCTTGCTAATTATGTGCCTTATTGGTGGTTTGACATTGTGTGATATTTCATTATCCTTACATGATGAAACTTGACTGATAAGTATAATGTAGACTGATAAAAATTAAAGGATGATTTTCTTATATATTTCTGTCACTACTTCTTCATTGTCGGTCTATAAGATATACTGGGTACACGTGGTTTTGTACTCATACTACACTTGCTACACTCTCTTGTGGTGCAAATTGGGTTTCGAATTCTAGCGCATTTCTTGGAGCTTTGAGTTAGAGTTTGGATTATCTTGGAGTTGTGGTACACTACTTGGATATTCTGCACCCCGCACCTTCATCTATCTCTATTTATTAGGTTGTTTTGGTATTTTGATAGGATATTTCTTATGTTTAGACTTTTCATATTAGTTGGACTTGTATCATATTTTAGAAGCTCTTGCACTTATGACATCAAAATCTTGGGTGGTATTTATCTTTCCGAACTTCATACTTATGAAAGACTTAGTATCTGAGGTATTCTACTTGTTATTTTTCCTTTTTGCCTTAATTATTTAGTTCAATTGGTAACAACTATTGGGTGGCCTACCGATCAGTTAGGAACATTGGTGTCATCATGACATGTGAATTTTGGATCGTGACAATTTGGTATCAGAACCCTAGGTTTATAAGTCTCATGAGTAGAAGAGGAATGTCTAGTAGAGTCTTGCGAATCGGTATGATGACATCCATATTTATCTTTGAGAGGTCATTGGCCATTTAGGAATCTTCTATTTTTTTCATTCCTTAACGTGGACACTTGACTTTGCTGGAGTTCTATCTTGTTATATATATCTCATTCTCACACAATTAATAAGGACTCGTGCATCCGCAATCAGAAATCGGGAGCTTGCCCCGCACCCACTGCTAGGGTTATTGAATGAGGTAGATAAATGAGGAGGTCTAGATAGAGGTTGGCTTGTATTGTTTTGGCTAATAGGTATGTCATGTTTGTTTGTGAGTAGAAAATGATTGAAAGGGTTGTTATACCCCATTTTAACTTACGTCAAATACTGTATGATATATTGGTGATTTCTAAATTAAACTGACTTAAGAAGTGGCCACCTAATTAATTACGGTGAATTAGGGCACCTAAATATTTAACTAAGTGATACTAAAATTGGCTCCAATAAAGGTCTACTTAACTTAAGTGATTCTAAGTAAGGGTTCTAGTTATCCTAAAGGGAAGGAGTTCAACATCCTTTAAGATTCGTTAAAAATCGATTACCTCTCAAACTTAAGTTAATTAAAGAGAAGATAAAATGATCATTAAAAGCTAAGAGAAAAATAGTAGTAATAAAATCATGACAAGTTTAGCCTTGTGAAAAAGGGTTAAAGTATAAAACCTTGAAATATACTAACTTTATATATAAAGATCCGAAAAAAATGAAATAAAACACTTATCTAACTTTAGAGGTTTTAAATCAGTTTAAACTTGATTTTTTTAAGGAGAAAAAGAGTTTGAGAGAAATATACATAATTGTTACTTTCAAAATAGGTGACCAAGTCAAATTCTTTTGTTTAACAAAGAAAATCTTTTCATGAAATTGAATCAAAAGAAATCTTAAGGCTAAAAAGATCAAATATACATTTGCCTTGACTAAGAATAAAAATCTCTAACCACTTGAAAATCTTTTATTTTTAAATTTGCCTACTCAAAATTCACCAAAAAAGAGTTGTGTTTTAAAACTTTTATTATAAACATATTTGTATTATAGTGAATGTCTAATTATGTGGAGTCCTTTTAGGATAGTAATTAGGTATCCTACTTGGGACCAAGTTAGGTTTCCCCTATAAATAAAGGGGTTTTCCTTTATTGTAAATCAGATATGTAAATCCTGAATATACTTCAAGAGGAATAAGAAATCTTCTCTCTTTCCCCGTGAGCTAAGAGAGGCAAAGATAAGAGAGTTTCTCACACTTAAGAAGGATTCTTTGAGCGTTCATGAGTATGGGCTGAAGTTCACCCAACTTTCCCGCTATGCACCAGAGATGGTTGTAGATATGAGGAGTATGATGAATCTGTTTGTTGCTAGGTTGTCTCGTGTGCCAAGTAAGGAAGGTAAGGCAACCATGCTAATAGGTGACATGGACATAGAAAGGCTGATGATCCATGTGCAACAAGTTGAGGAGGACAAGCTAAGGGATATGGAAGAGTTTAAGAACAAGAGAGATAAGACATCAGGGAATGAATTCGAGCAGCAAAAGAGTAAGGCAAACCGGTCTTCTTTCCAACATAAGCAGCAGGGACCTGCTCCATCATCTGTTAGTGCACCTGCACCAAGGAGCAAATGTGAGTACAATAGTCAGAATTTTAGAGCTAAACTTGCCTATTCTCAGGTTAGTATGGCGCAAGGGGGTAGTAACCCTCCTTCCTGCGCTAAGTATGGTAGGAATCACTCAGGTACTTGTTGTGAAAGCTCCACTGGTTGTTTCAAGTGTGGCCAGAATGGTCATTACATGCGAGAATGTCCAAAGAATAAGCAGGGTAACGGGAATGGGGGCAATAGAGATAGAGTTGCACCTAGAGGGGCAATTTCAGGTACTGGAAGAGGAACAAACCGCCTATATGCTATCACAAGTCGCCAAGTGCAAGAGGATTCTCCAGATGTTGTTACTGGTATGATCCAAGTCTTTAACTCTAATGTTTATGATTTGCTAGACCCAGGAGCGAGTTTATCTTTTGTAACTCCGTATGTTTCGATGAATTTTGATGTTATTCATGAGAAACTTAGTGAACCCTTCAGTGTTTCTACACTTTTCGGTGAGTCTATTCTAGCAGAGAGAGTCTATCATGATTGTCCTATTTTCGTCAATCACAAGAGTACCATGGCTGATTTAATTGAGTTAGACATGGTAGATTTTGATGTCATTCTTGGTATGGACTGGCTTCATGCCTGTTATGCCTCAGTTGATTGTAGAACTCGAGGTGTCAAGTTTCAATTTCCTAATGTGCCAGTCTTAGAGTGGAAAAGCAGTTCAGCAGTGCCTAAGGGTCGTTTCATTTCGTACCTTAAGGCAAGAAAGTTAGTTTCTAAGGGGTGTGTATATCACTTAATCCGAGTTAATGACTCTAGTGTTGATCTACCTCATATTCAGTCAGTTCCAGTAGTAAATGAGTTTCCAGACGTCTTTCCAGATGATCTTCCCGAAGTCCCTCTTGAGAGAGAAATAGACTTCGGTATATACAATCTTCCAGATACTCGTCCTATATTTATTCTTCATATAGAATGGCACCAACAGAGTTGAAAAAGTTAAAAAAGCAGTTGAAAGATCTTTTAGAGAAAGGTTTTATTCGACCAAGTGTCTCACCTTGGAGAGCTCCAGTCTTATTTGTGAGGAAGAAGGATGGTTCCCTTATAATGTGTATAGATTATCGCCAGTTGAACAAGGTTACCATCAAGAAAAAATATCCTCTCCCAAGGATTGATGATCTTTTCGATCAGCTTCAGGGTGCTACTTGTTTCTCTAAGATAGACCTCAGATCAAGCTACCATTAGTTAAGAGTGAGGGAATGTGATATTCCAAGACAACTTTCAGGACCTGTTACGGTCATTATGAGTTCCTAGTTATGTTCTTTGGCTTGACCAATTCGCCTGCATCATTCATGGACCTTATGAATAGAGTATTCAAACCTTATTTAGATATGTTTGTTATCGTCTTCATTGATGACATACTAATCTATTCGAGGAATGAAGAAGATCATGCTAGTCATCTCAGAATAGTTCTCCAAACTCTAAAGGATAGATAGTTGTATGCCAAGTTCTCTAACTGTGAGTTTTGGCTTGAGTCTGTGGCATTCTTAGGCCACATTATGTTTGGAGAGGGAAATAAAGTTGGTACTTAGAAAATTGAGGCAGTACAGAATTGGCCTAGACCCACATCTCAAACTGATATTAGGAGTTTCTTGGATTTAACTGGCTCGTATAGAAGGTTCGTAGAGGGGTTCTCATCTATTTCGTCCCCTTTGACCAAGTTGACTCAAAAAACAGTGAAGTTTCAATGGTCTGAAGCTTGTGAGAAAAGCTTTCAGGAATTGAAAAAGAGGTTGACTACTTCCCCAATATTGACCTTACCAGAAGGTACTCAAGGTTTTGCTGTATATTGTGATGCATCTAGAGTTGGTTTGGATTGTGTGTTAATGCAGAATGGCAAAGTTATAGCTTATGCCTCCAAACAGTTGAAAGTTCACGAGAAGAACTACCCAACCTATGATTTAGAATTGGCTGTTGTAGTATTTTCTTTGAAAATATGGCACCATTATCTTTATGGTGTTCATGTGGATGTGTTCACCGATCACAAGAGCCTGCAGTATGTGTTTACTCAGAAAGAGCTTAATCTCAGACAAAGGAGGTGGTTAGAGTTACTCAAAGATTATGACATGAGTATTCTTTATCACCCAGGTAAGGCTAATGTGGTTGTTGATGCCTTGAGTAGATTATCTATGGGTAGTACCACCCATTTTGATGAAGATAAGAAAGAGTTAGCAAAAGATGTGCATAAGACTTGCACGATTAGAAGTTCAACTAATGGATTCCACAGAAGGAGGAGTAGTGGTGATGAATGGGTTTGAATCATCATTAGTGTTAGAAGTGAGAGAAAAACAAGACCAAGATCCTATATTGCTTGAATTGAAGGCAAATGTTCATAAGCAAAAATGGATGGCTTTTAAACAAGGGGGAGATGGTATTTGGAGGTATCAAGATAGATTGTGTGATTGATTTCAAGGGTAATTAGGATAATCACCTATCTCTCATTGAGTTTGCTTACAACAATAGTTACGATGCTAGCATCCAAATGGCTCCATATGAGGCTCTTTATGGGACAAGATGTAGATCTCCTATTGGATGGTTTGAAGTTCGTGAAGCAGGGTTGATAGGACCACACTTAGTTCATCAAACTATGGAGAAAATGAAAGTCATTCAAGAGAGTTTGAAAACGGCGCTGAGTCATCAGAAATCCTACACTGGTGTTAGGAGAAGGGAGTTAGAGTTCGAAGTAGATGATTGGGTTTATTTAAAAGTTTCACCCATGAAGGGTGTTATGCGATTTGGTAAGAAGGGGAAGCTTAGTCCCCGGTATATTGGTCCTTACAAAATACCCAAGAGGATTAGCAATGTAGCTTATGAGTTAAAGCTACCATAAGAGTTAGCAATGGTTCATCCGGTATTTCATATTTCCATGTTGAAGAAGTGCATGGGAGATCATTCACTTATCATACCAACTGAAGATATTAGTATCAAGGATAACTTATCTAATGAGGAGATTCCTGTCCAGATTCTAGATCGCGAAGTTTGCAAGTTGAGGACTAAGTAAGTAGCATCAATCAAAGTCCTTTGGAGGAACCAATTTGTTGAGGAAGCCACTTGGGAAGTTGAGGAGGATATGAAGAAGAGATATCCACATCTCTTCGAATCTGGAGAAGTTCCAAATTAAGGTACTAATCCTTTTCTTGGCATTTTAATTATAAGTTGGCATGTTGTAATTGCATTATGCTTGTTGGGTGTTTGAACTGCATGTTTGATGTTACACCCTTAGCCTACTAAGAGTAATCTCATTCAAGGATGAATGTTCCCAAGGGGGAGATATTGTAACACCTCGCTAATTGAAATAACTAGAAAGAGCTAGAATTAGAAAGAGTTGTTTTTGGAAAGAATGAAAATCTGGAAAATTTGTTAAGTTATGTTAAGTTTGAGTTTTTAGTTAACTTCAAACGACCATACCTACTAGCTCAGGATGTGTTAGGTGTGCTTATAGATATTGTAGGAAATATCTTGGAATAATCTTTCCAACGTCGCCGAGTTTACTCAATTCTGAGTTTGTATGAGTAAGATTCCCATTTAAAGTTGGGTTGTTCAATTAAGAAAAGTCTAATCCGGATTTTAGAAGGGCATTATGGTCTTTTCCATACCCCATAACTTAGTTTAGTTTTTGGTAATTAATTGGGGTCTAAACTGATAGTATTCAGTTTACGCTTTTACGATATTGAGTTAGGGTTTTAGAGAAGAGAAAAGAAGAAGAGAAAGGAGGAGAAGGAGCAAGTCAAGTTCTTCAAGAATCATTTGGGGATTTCATCAAGGGGTGATTCCTACGAGGTATGTGAGTTCACATAGCGTTGGGTTCGTTCACCCATGCACCATACATGTTTATTTCAGTATGATTTTCGTCCTAAAAGTTGAAAATTTGAATGTTCTTGATGTGTGTTCTTGAATTTACTTTTGTTCTTGAAATTGGGATGAGATTGAGGAGTTTTTGAGAGTTTAAGGTTGATTTTAGAGTTGTTTTGAGTTAGGTTCTTGGGTACATTTCCTAAGTATCCGAATCTAAAGAGAATTTGAAAAAAAGAACCGAGTTTAGGCGAATTGGGGTCAGAAAATGAAGAAGGAAAAAGTCGGCAGAATCTGGGTAGCAGGTCCGCGACGCGGACCTATTCCTCAAGATTGGAAAAAATTTCCTCGCATGGCGGAGCGGTCACGGACCGTTCTGCCTCAAAATTATTTCACAACCAAATATTTAAATGCATCTCCGCATCACGGACTTGCTTTCAGACTGTGATTTTTTTATCTTTTCTCATTTTAACTATCTAAAAACACTCCTAAACATCATGAGATCTTTCCTATCACAAATCAGAATCCTTGAATCCATAATTCAATTCAAGGGTTAGTTAAGAGTCAAGTCAAGAGAAGTTAAGAGTCAAGTTAAGAGAAGTTAAGAGTCAGGCTAAGAGAAGTTAACAGTCAATTCAAGAGAAGTTCATAGAGTCTTCCAAAGTCTTTTACAAACGATTTAACTTTGTTTTAAGACTTGAGTTTTAAGTTGAGTAAAGAGTAAAGTTGAAGTTCATTTCTTCAAAGTATATGGGGACTATGTATTCCCAAAGAGTTAAAATGTTTTCACATTTAAAGAAGAAAAGGAAATCTTGATTTCCAAAGAGCCTTTGAGCTTGTTTTAAAAAAAGAGTAAATGCTTTCACAATTAAGCAAGAGAGGAATCTTTGATTTCCAAGATAGCCTTTGAGCTAAATTTTGAGAAATTATCTCAAATAACAAAAATAAGTATGTTTTTAAACATTAGATCTAGTATCATATTTTGGGAGTAGTATTGAGCACCGATATGGGGGGAGAGTTCAGACAACTCACAGCCCCCATAAACCATGTAGCCACCATGGGTAGAAAAGGGTAATACTTTTTAGATGATTTCTTAGTGCTTTTTAGCATAGACTAGTGGATCCACTTAGTAGTTCAGGTTATATACCCCTGGCAAGGTATAGGACGGCCCTGGCAGCGTGAGGCAAAACGTTGTATCATCACAATAGCTCTTAAGTGATGGTTGTCGGTTAGAGAAACTCCCACAGCAGTATTTTGTATTTTTATATACATCAGAAATATTTATATTTTCATATACAAACAAAGTTCATATTTTATCTTTGCATACATATAGAGTTATTATTGTATTTCTAAATACATAGAGTTGAAAACCATGTTTTAAAGCTTTTCTTTATGCTGCATTTATTTACACTACTTCATATTGAAATCAGTTGAGTTGAGTTGAGCCAGGTAAGTTCTTCAGTTCCTTTGAAGCTTATGTCTTGTTTTAGAATTCCCCTCGCATACTCATACATTCAATGTACTAATGTCATTTGTCCTGCATCTTCTCATGATGCAGACACAGGTAACCAGGATCAACATCCAGTGCATCGTTGATTCTAGGGAGCTCCAGAGTTTGTTGGTGTGCATCCCTGCTTGCAGAGGATCCCTTTTATTGCTTTCAGTATTTTAGTTCATTAGGACATCGGGGGTCTAGTCTCAACATCCATCTCAGTTGTTTAGAGGTTTCATAGATAGACAGTCAGTTAGTTCATTTGTATTTCTTTGTTATTGTCTTATGTTCAGATTTGATTCGCCATTTTGGCTAAGTTAAATGTTTATTTCTAAAACATTATGAGTTTAGTTTGAGACAATTGAGTCATCTTGCATTTGAGTTCTTTCCTTAATGCTTAAAGTCTTCCGTTGTCTAAGTAAGCCAGACCAAGTGTTCGTTTGGGGCTAGCAATGGTTCTCGAGTGCCAGTCCCGCCCGGGGCGTAGGCTCGGGGAGTGACAATACAGAAAGAGTTAGGATTTAGGTGGATCATAGTACATCCTTGTATACACAAACTGATAGTCAGTCTGAATGTACTATTGAAGTCCTTGAAAATATGTGGTGGGTGTGTGTAATCACTTTGGTGGTTAATGAGGATGAATTCTTGCTTTTAGTGGAGTTGCATACCACAAGAGTTTGATGAATTTGAGGTTAGACCATCGGCACATATCTGGTTAGGGAGTCCTTGGATAAGGTTAAGTTGGTTGAGATTAGGCTTCTCATGGCTCCGAATAGGCAAAAGAGTTATGCATATTGAAAGATTCGTGATTTAGAATTAATGATTGGAGAGTGGGTTCTATTGAAGGTTACACTTATGAAGAGTATGATGAAGTTTGAAAAGAATAACAAGTTGAGATCGAAGTATATTGTCCCTGTCTATATGGGTCAATGTATTGGTGAGGTGGTTACAAGTTTGCTTTGCCATTTGATTTGTCGGGTGTTTACATTTTATTTCATATTTTGATACTGAAGAAGTTTCACTTAGGATGGTTCGTATCTGATTCAATGAGATTCAGTGTCACTAGATTAGAGTCCTACTTATGAGGAGAAGTCGGTAACTAACATAAATGGAAAAATTCAAAAGTTGAGGTCAAAAGTAGTTATTTTAGTAAAGGTTCAAAGGAAGGGTTGAAGATGCTACTTGGGAGAGTGAGTTGGACGTATAGATCAGATATCCACATTTATTTTAAGCATTCAGTTACTTTAT